CACATGTGGAAGGTCAAGGGTTTTAAGTGGTTCAAAGGGCTCACAAGTACTATCTTCCATCATGGAAATTTCCTCCTGAAGAGAGGACTTGGAAAAAAAGGATTTATTTTCTGTGAAAGTGACATCTGTAGAGATGTAAAATTTTCTGGTAGAGGGATTGTAACACTTATATCCCTTTTGAGTGGAGGAGTAACCTAGGAAAACACATTTGATGGCTTTGGGATCTAGCTTCCCTCTATGTTGTTTGTGGACATGAATAAAGACAGTGCACCCAAATATCCTGAGAGTGGGGCCATTTGGGGTTCTGAAGTGAGGGTAGAAGCTATTTAGGACCTCTATGGGGCTATTGTTTTCTAACACACGGGAGAGAAGTCTATTGATCATGTGTGTGGCAGTAAGAACGGCTTCTCTCCAATAGGACTTAGAAACATTCCCTTGAAAGAGTAAGGCTCGGGTGGTATTGAGTAAATACCCATTCTTTCTTTCAGCTACCCCATTTTGTTGGGGTGTGTCCACACATGATGAGTCATGGATAATCCCCTGTGATTGAAAATAAGGTGAAAGAATTTGATTGAAGTAATCTCTAGCATTGTCTGTTCTAAAGCTTTTTATTTTGATTGATTTTGAACCATTGAATGAAAGTTAGGTATAACTGTGCTAACATCAAATTTTTGTTTAAGAAGGAAGAACCATGTAACCCGGGTGCAATCATCAATTAAGGATACAAACCAACGAGCCCCAGAAACATTAGGTATAGTGGAAGGACCCCATATGTCACTATGAATCAGATGAAAAGGATGAGAACTTCTTTTATTGTTAATAGGAAAAGATACACAGGTGTGTTTTGTTAATTCACAAATGTCACAATGAAACTCAGAAATATTTAATCCTTGGAATAAATTAGGAAATATTTTATTTAGAACCCTAAAAGAGGGATGACCAAGGCATAAGTGATACAGTCAAATGACATCTTTGTTTGAGGAACTAAGGAAAGATGATGACAAATTGCTCCTGATTTTCTG